ACATCTACCAAGAAAGAGAAAGAGAGGGATTAAGAAAAAATGTTCAAAGAATGGCAGCCTGTCATCTATTTTCAGCAGTGTCGCTCAGAGTACACTGCGGGTTTAGCTGGGTTGCTTGGACCCATTATGGTCAAGTTAGACCAAAGAGTTTGAGAATAAAATTGGTGGGCTATTTTTATGAAATCCACTTCCTCTGGTTTGTGATAAAATCTTCTGAGAGAGGACGGAAAATCTTTTTTTTGTCACAGTGGCTTCAAAGCTTTGGTCAGTTCTTGCTTTTGCTGTCACAGCATTATGCAAATTCATAATTACAACTGCGTTTTGTTTACTTTGCTTATTTCTGTGCTATATGATACTAGATAATCCTCATAGCTCCTTGGGCACAGCCTATCATTAGCTAATTAAAATTTGCAGTGGATGTTTTCTGTTTGAAGCTGTAATCTGCAGCGGTGAGCAACAAACATGCCGGGGCCCTTACTCTAAGGTAACGTGAACTTGGATGTCCAATGGTGCCACTGGGTTCAGAGTCTCCCACCCATAACAAGAGGTCAAGGGTCATGAAAAAGGGGTGTAAGGTCATGGACACAGACACGCACCTGTTCACAGGGGGCCTCCTTTAGCAGAACAGATGACTCCCAGATGTTTTATGAAGATACTGTGACAGCCATGACCATTTGTGTGTGGTGTGACGATACAAAAGGGTGGGGTTACCCCCTGCAAATGCACTGTTTAGAATTGGACTAAACTTCCTAAAACACTTCCCAGACATGCTCCACCATACATGGACATGTGCAATGCTTTTGGGGGACGTAAAAACCTTGATTTACATTGTTTTGAATGGATTTTAAGAAGGACACTCTTACACCTGGAAAAGCTCCGATGGAGGACTTAGTCTGGGGTTCAGTCTGTGGTCAGCAAAGAAGGAACTAATTCCGAAAAGTCTCTCCTGAAAAGATCGGTACTTTTGAGCGTTTTCTTTTGAATGGTTGGATAAAATACGGCGATAAATCGCAGTGTCAGTCGTACAGCTGAAGTTGCACTCTGTGGAGAGAAGTCCCCATGTTGCCAATATAATAGCAACTGGAATATATAAACCTTTCTTTTGAATGGAAGCATCTGGAAAAGAGCAAGGCCCTTCCCTTTCAGTTTTACCATCAGTCTTTTTTCCCCATTACTATTCTGTCAGTCTCTGGTCTCCCGTTTACAGTTCACACACCTGGATTCATTGTAGTAAAAAAAGACCTATGAGAAGTTATGTGTTAGAGCAAAAGTATGCTGTTCATGTGGGTTGTTTGCATTGTATATTTCATGATCATGGAAAGATGACCAACATCAATGTTGCACATTGAGATGAAATTATTCTGACATTATTCAAAGTCTAATAGTGATGGCCTTCATGCCCGAAGATCAAGGCATTACATCATTGGTTAGCATGATGAAGCTGTCATGAGTCAGTCAGCGGAAAGTTGTACCATTGTCCAAACATGACAGCATTTAGCTGGCACATATCCAGTCAGACAGCAGAGGTACTGTGGGAGCAGGCAGTTGGGTGACCTCTGACCCTGCCCAGTCTGCCTCCAGGACAAAAGAGGCATTCAGATGCCCAGTACTTTTGCAAAACACCCAAAAAGCACTCAGCTTACAGTGCAAATGACTGGTAATCCTGTTGAAATACTTGTTTACTCCCAGTTAAGATTGGTAAAAGCAGGTGAATTATCACATATTTGTGATGGAAGAAAAGACACTGTTAAGGTAGAAGTGCATCCTAGTAGTAGATGGTAAGCATTTATACAGGAGGGGTGTAAATAATGAAGACAGGAAAGAATGTCACCATAAGAACATAGTGACTACAATTAGATTTATGGTTTATGGCTTTACTGTCATTAGACCTCTTTTCTGCGGAGGCTTTTGAAAGATGGATGGTATAGTGTTCCCCACTATCATGATTTATAGCTAACATACAATTAGACCATGTATAAAAATGTGCCCTCATGTTTATTCTGTCAAGAGTTCAGGCTTTGTGCAGCGGCGGTATTTTTCTCTCTGGCAATTTATCTCTGTGCGGGCGTGAAAGAAATGGTTGTGTGCAAAGTGCTGTCACAAGGAATTCCTAGCTTAAACAAAACAAACTTAAATGAGAGCTGCCTGGTCAAAAGAAACCCTAAATAATACATTAAGGAACAACATGTCGTAAAACATGACTGTTTGCCATGTTTGCTCTGGCAGCTGCCGGTTTGGAGGACTCTTGACACTTCTCTTCAGTGACAACCCTGGAAAGATTGCTTCTGATGCCAATATCTGCAGTTTTAAACGCTTCTTTACGGCCTCTCTTCCAGCTGTTTCTTTGCCCGTTATCAAGTTTGACTGCTCCTGCATATAAGAGAGAGTGGTTTATGAGCCTGGAAGAGACCACCTTGGGTGACCCACTTCTTCTTGTCCAATATTCCATTCACCTTTTGTCCAACTCTCCACAAAGTGCCAAGTTCTCTTTTACTACTCCCCCTAACTAAATTTAGCACTTTGTTACCCAGATGGTGATTGTTCTTGCACTTTAGGTGTGAATTTTTGTTTGTGAAAGATTGCTGTCTGGAATGCTCAGTGTTGAGTCTTTCTTCTGCTTCCCCAGTGGGTACAGGAAGGTTTAGACTCAGCAAGCTTCACCCAGCTGACTGACAAGTGACTGGCAGGTTGTCTGGAGCGCCGTGTCATTTCAGTGTGCACAGATCTGCGAAGGGGAAAGCGCCCTACCTGAAGTGTCAGTCTCGCTCAACATACTCTGCAGCTGGTTTATCGGTCATGACACTTGCCATCCAATGTGATTTACTGTGGGTAAACATCAACCTCGCTTGTGTTTTAAAGGAATAACCCGGGGGGGCAGTGCAAGTTCACTAGAGCCAAGTTTGTAGAGGCCACAATCTGCGGTCAGCTCCTTGGTACACAGAGTGACAATGTGGACTTACAGTGTGTAACCTCTTATTTTCTTTCTTTCTGCAAAATGCATGCTGTCCAAAAGAAGTGAAAACAAACATACCACCAAAAAAGAAAAGGAGAACAGATGGACATATGGGGGTGTTGGATTCCAGCTCCCCCATTTTTTAAGGGGGCATGATGTTTATCGCAAGCATGCGTAGCCCACTCCATTTGCGTCAATTAGCCGATGTAATTTACCAGGCTGTGATGGATGATACAGAGGCGTCTGAAGTGCACTAAGCTAGACTGGAGCATTCACTTAGCCTATTCCTCAGGGTTTCTTCCCTTGTTTTGGGGGATGGAGATATTACTCTAGAGAGAGTAGATTTGATGCTGCACAGAAAGAAAGAGGGAAAGAGACAGTAGGGGAAGTGGACATCATGGAGATAAGCTGGCTCTGTCTCAGAGCCGGGCTAATGGTTGCGTCCCCACGGCTCGCTCAGGAATGCACCCAGGCATTACTGCCAGCAACTTGGTGTCATCTGTCTACTGTCCCCAGAGAGAGTTGACAAATATTATGGTATTTTGACTCCGCCTTTCTGCCCTCTTTGGCATACCAGTGGCTCCAGTTTGTATGTGTGAGAATGGATGGTGGTAATATATGCATTTGGATCCCACTTTATAGGCAAGGCCAAATGCATGTACTTTCTTTGCTTTCTTTGCATCTAGCAATTGCCCAAAACCAAGTCCTCAGTGCAGTGCAAGTGGGTCTAAATGTATCAGGTCGAACAATAAAACAAAAGGTGGGGGAACCTTTTATAATAACTTTCTTCTGATTCCCAATCCTTTTCTAAAACCTGGTCAGCAGCATCTGTATGCACATTATGTAAGCAAGGCTGGAATCAATAGTCTAGCATTGATCAGAAATCACCACCAGACAAGCTGTCACCCCACCTAACCTGTGTAGCAGTCGAGCAGTCTAGAGGAAGATAAGATCACTCAGTATGAAATCGATTCACATTTGACCCTTATCTTCAAAGTGTTGTGCAGTGAAGGTAAAAATGCGTGGCATCTCGAAATGTCAGAGGATTTGTATTGATCTGTCAGTTTCGGGGTCAAGAGGCTGTCAATGATGTCTTGCTGATTGATGTGTAGACATTTCTCCAGGCACACTGAATGAGGAGAATAGCTGATAGTGTATTGTATTGTGTTGAATTCATAATGACCGAATTTGCGCAAGTGCCTCGTACATATGTAATAGTAAAATTTTGGATTTCGTTTGGAGGTCTTTTTCACTTTCCTGATTTTCTCAGCTGATTAGGGTCTGTGTCTTGGCCAGTGCAATGGGAGTCTTAAGTTTTTGACTCCAGTGTTTACACTAGCCTACCCCTCATATTATCACAGCAACATACTTGAACTTTCACAGAACCGTCTGTGGCGTGGCCCTCCACCTGATCCCCTCTCAACGCATTACATTCGGCTGAGCTAATGGTGTGAACTTGACAAAGCCACCAGAGCATTGTACAATCAAGGTCTCCCCTTCTTGTCAATGAACACTGATTGGATCTCAGAGAAAGCCTTTTCCTGTGTGTGTCACAGGGCTAATTCTTAATGGCGACTCCCATATTTGGGAGTGTGTGCGTGCTCATGTGGGCGTGTGTCTTTTTTATGCATGCATTGGCGATGAGAAGACGCAACAGGAAAAGGGGTTTCCTTTGGGCGTTGTGTGTGATATCCCTCCATCCACAGCCTTTTTTTGTCTGCTCAATGAGGGAATGTATTGGGTGGAGTTGGGATTGTGGGCAGGGGTGGGAAGCGGGTCATTTCCTTTCATCTTGCCCTCTCCCTTGGCCTCACACAGCAGGCACATACACACATGCATACTGTACAAAAATGCATTAATATTCAAAGAAAATCCACCACCTCCTTGCTGACATCCAAATAGATGCTGTCATACACTGGAGCTGGAATCCAGAAGGGGAGGGGCACAGGGGCGAGTGATCTAAAGGCAGAGAGTGAGAGAGGGAGAGAGAGCAAGAGAGGGAGGGGGGGAGAGAGAGAGCAGGGACAATGTCAACAGCTCAGCTCCCAGCACAGTCAGCTGAAATCCAGAGCTCGGCTCAGAAGCTCACAGAGAGCAGACAGAACGCAGCAGCTTCGACTGGGAAACACCGCCAGACTCAGCAAAGGCATGGAATTTGGACACGAAACACAAACTCTGAATGGCAAAAAGAGGGATCTAAAGCCATATGCTGCAGGAATGCTTTAAAGTTTCCTTGTAAGCTTGCTTTTTCAAAAAGGCTCTTAAGTTTCCATTTCAAGTGACGCGACACAGGGACAATCCATCTCTCAGGGCAGCCCATCTGAAGTGGGTAAGTAGGAGATACTTGATCTTGACACTGATACCTGTAGCCCTTCCCAGTCATTGTGAGTAATAGCTACACTGTAGTGCTGTTCACCCAGTAGGAGATTGCATACACGACAGGCTATGGATGTTTTATACCCAGTTTGTCCATGCACTGCATCCCGCTGCTCAATCCAGCCAGGAAAACACAGACTACTGCAGCCAATAAAATAAACATTAGTCAGTAGGCTCAGTAGAAAGCTGAGCAAAAAAGAAGCTGGTGGGCAACAAGAGCTACTAATCCCACTAAGATGATAAAGATTCAAAGTTTTTGTGTTGTTGTGATTGGAGTGCAAGGCAGTATTTTACAGTACTTTTTTTTTTTTACTACAGTGGCTTTATAGGTCATAAACGGCAGCAAAAGCTGGGTTGTGAAATGCGCGTGGTCTTTATGTTAGGGCTGTCTCTCCAGTGGTGTTGACAGCATGCCTTGCTTCACCCCCATGCATGCTGGTGCATTATATGAGCAAGGTTTTTGGCATATTTGGTGGTAGTCTTGGATTCAGATTTTAGCTGAAATCATTTGGAGTTTAATTTTCTTTGGAAAAGGTTGCATTGTTTCAAGGGTGGATGGGGGTTCAGCATTGAGTGCTGGCAGAGAGGGTTCAAAGAGCTGTGATGTCTAGGACTTAACATAAAGTTCTGGGAAATGTTTCAGGCATTTCTGGAATTGAGGGAGGATGGGACAGTGTCATATGTAATGGGCACAGGCCTATTTTGGGTCCTAGACGTGGGCTGATCAACGTGCTCATCAATAACATTGATGGCCTTTGGTGTAGGTTGTGGTCTTGGCACGCAGACATTCCAGATATGCTCCCAGCAACAATTCAACCCAATATGGAACCAGGGGAGCAGACTTCCACTTAGCTCTAAATACAGCCTATACATCGCTTGGGATGTTGGTATTCCTTTATTATAGACTGTCCTTTGACATTTCCCTCAGGGGCAGCCAATACTTCATAGCAGTTCATACCAACATGAAGTTCATACCACTGTCTTAATCTCCAAGGGTTCCTGACTTGAAGAAATTGTGAAGCCTGCATTCTTGTGTGGTAGCATTGGCTATCCCAGTTGAGAGGCTGTCATCTTAGTTGTAAATCCTTTGCTTGTGTCGAAAGTACACTTATGAAGGTCCATGCACCAGCCCTCCAAATTTCCACCTGTGAAATTGGTTTGGGATGCCTTCTTTGGGTTTCCCTAAGTCCAATGGCTTGTGGATGGAAAACATTCCGAACAGATACCTCAGCATTTATGAACATTTTACTAGAGGCTGAGCTTTTAAATAGCTGATCTGGGAGATAATAGCTATATGAAAAGGCATAAGACAAACATTATTCCTGAAACATTCAAGGCAATTCATTCCTTTCAGTGGCTTGTGTTTGAAGGTTGATGAACCGGGGGCAAAACTCATTTATACAGTCATAGGGCCATGTGTGTTGTCTTTGATGTCTTTTTGCATTGTGAACAAGATAGTATCCATTTCCACCACATTAAAGGCTTACTCTCCAGTCTGCTGGAAATCCTCCTACACTCACGTGCACTGGGGGCAAGCAGAGTGACATCGCTAAAAGATTCAGTGTGTTGGGAGCGCTTGAAAGTTGAGGACTCACACGTAGTGTACATACACACCCTCTGCTGCCATCAGCGTTCTCAGGGCTTTTCATATTTTATCGACCATTACGGATGCATGAACTGCTCTCTCAGGATTAGAGGGAGTGCGAGGGAGTTAGTGAGCGACGGTCGGTTTTTATCGCTTCAGTCCTGCTGTTGACTGGCAACTCAACTGCCTCCTCATTAGGATAGGCACAGAGAGAAAAAAGATGAGGTCTGTAAAGCTGCTTAAATTCAACTATCTGATCTTTTGGATAGGATTATCATCATGTTGTAGTTATAGTAGAGTGGTCACAGTGTCTGAGGGACAAAACTCTGGGAGATTTTAAGAATAAGGCTGCTGTTCATCTCTCTTCTTCACTGGAAGTCCCCACACTGAGTGTGTGTCAAATGGCACTATTGTGTTTGTGCCAGTGACACACTTTCTGGGGCTTATGATGTGTAAGCATATCTCCTCTTTACAGTGCCTAAATTCAGTGCAGTATTACTGCAGGCTATTTGGAAAATTGCTGGTCACTGGTCACAGGGCTGTCCCTATCAACGTTTCTATAACTGTCCCAGAAGAGCATTCCAGACATTACCCAGAAGCCCTCTGTACTCTATGCTGCAGCTGCTGACCTCTCACCCAGGCAAAATTAATAGCTTAACAATGTGCAATATAGAGTGCGCCAGTCCACTCACTGACAGTGATAGACATATTTGGCGCAAATGATGAGAAGCCAAACAAACAAGCTGATAAACACACTATCTATTGAGTAATGTTGTCATCAGCATAAGGAATGGTATTGAAATGGATGATAAGTCGCTGTTCTTTATATTGTTTAACGTTCAAAAGTGATCCCTTTCACCACCCAAGAAAGCTGGATCTTTTCAAGCGTCTGTGCAATTTGTTTAAGTGCACTGTACTGATGGAAACGGTTCACTCCTTCAAAAAGACTGTGGGGTGTTTGCAAAACAGTGTCTCCGGTCCTGCATCCATTCCCTCTTGGGAGCCATGGTTACCAGCTCTGAGGTTGTATTCGTAACATTTTTTTTCTAAATATATAATAACACGTCTTTAGTTAGGCTTGTGACTCTGGCGTTCCTCTCATATGAAATAAGAAAATCATTTGACACTGCAGGGTAGCGCTTTGGGGTTCGAAGGAAAGGGATGGCAAGTATTAGATTTCATTCTGAGCCCTGTTAATATGTGGGAATGTTGGGCCTGTGGAATGTGGCGTGGCTGACTTTATTCTCATTCCCAGTATTAATAGCATAGTTATCCCAGTGATCCGGTCTATTTGATGAGCAGAGATGTGCCCGTTGGCCAGCAGAGAAATGGGTCAACATTGGGCCTGTGATCTGATGTTAGTCTCCCCCCTTGATACAACCTCCTTCCTGAGCCAACATTAACATCTGTATTGTTAGAGTCCCATGCAGCAAATGGTGGACTTGTGCAACATGTGGATGACCTTCTGAGTACAGTTACCACAATGCAAGCTGAAGCCTTGAGAGAAATGTTTCAAGTGAGGTGGAACAAAAATGCACTTTTGAATAAAGCATTAGCAAAGTGGCTCACAAAAAGAGCTTTTCATCCTGTCAGGACTCCAAAACGTGTGTATGCAAACTCTGGCTGATTTGTTTTTAACTTCCCCGAAGTCATCTGCTTCTGCACAGGTTCTTATTTCAACTTTTGCTCATGCAACTTGTGTCTGTGGTTCGTGGCTTCTATGAAGGGGTTTAACATGTTTATAATAATTTGCTTCAAACTGCAATGGGGCATGGTTGGGTACTCCATGCTGCATGGAGCTGCTACATTTGTTTTGATCAAAGCAAAAAGCTCAATCTAAAAGCACAGTTGTAACAACCCCCTGGTACTTCATGTGGTCTGCGCCTTTATGAATGTTCCTCACATCAGGAAATGTCTTTTTTTAATTAATCAAGCTAAATTAAATGGGTATTAATGACATCCCTGGAGGATTGGAAACATATCCCCCCTCCTATTTTTCCAGTGGTTTGTTGAGGCATTTCCTCTTTATGGGTGAGGTGGGTTACTGTGCCTCATGGCCCTGTTAAAACTAACAGTGCTTATATGTTTGTTTGGCTAGAAGCCAATAAGACGTCTGAGAATTCTCAAATATTGGCTGTGAAAGATTTTAAAAGTTTATGAGGTGATATTGAAAGACTGCCATATATAGGTGGTGGAGTTCTGCCTTTTTTCTGTTATTTAAACAAACTGGATTAATGGTAAGAATGAGACAAATATAGACATCATAGACAGTTTGAACAACTTGTCTAGAATTACTAATATGAGTCCCCAGTGATGTAAAGCACTCACCAAGCATTGCCATTTTTCCTGAAGGGACAATCTATGTGCTTTATATACAAGATCGGCAACCCCTGTGCAAACCTGGGGCGACTACATGTAATTACGCTGTCCTTGCATTGGCTGTCTTACAAGAGCTGTTTATAAACAAAAGAAAATGAAAAATGCCTCTCTGTCCAATTGTGATTGCATTTGCCTTGGAGACAGTCTGGAAATATTTAAGCAACAGTATTAACCACAAGCTATTAAAGTAATTAATAATAATTGTGCCGGTGGTCAATTTCCAGGGTGGACTTATTCATTTCCTTCCTTATGTTATGCTGGTTCTATTCTCTTTGACAGCCCCATGAAACTGACTCAACCTCCTTAACATTGTTCTATTGCTATTGTTGAAGCTTGTCACTGTATACGGTGACTTGAAACGTAAGGCGCTTCTTATGTGTTTGAAGTCCATTGTCATGTTGTTTCAGAAGTATCATTTCACTATGAGTTTTCCTGGTGCATGTTTTGCCACTGACTCAGACAGTTTTGCCCCAGACTACGTCCTGGCGACAGTGTCTGAAGGAACGGCTCCCAGTCCAACAGCTGAGTAGATTTTCAGCTGTCTCATCCTTGCAGTTTCCCCTATCTGATTGCAGGGCAGAAAGGAAGTGATTGAGGGAGAACGTAAGCAAAGGAATGAGGGAGGTTTGGAGGAATGGGTAATAAGAATTGGGGGGTGGGTTAAAGGGAAGGGTGGGTTTCTGATCTTATGATTCTGGGTTCTTTTCCTGGAAGATGCACGTAGGCATAAGACCACAGACAGCCCTTATCATCAACTGCCTTACACACTTGTGTCTGTGGATAGAGCCTTAGCAGAATGCCAATGAATTTGGTTTCAGAAACTGCTTATCTTTATTACTCCCATAGTAGCAATCATTTACTTTGGATATATCATTGGTAAAATCATTCTCTTCCTACCCATTTGTTTGTCATGCCAATGGAATGGCTGAGAATGTTTTGGAGAGGGACGATGCTGTCATAGCTAAAAATAACTGTCCCTTGAAGATCAG